AATAAGGAAAGGGTTCCATCCTGGGGTAGACAGAAAGCTCTATTCTCTCCCTACCCCTAACCCCACCTGTCTGTCTTGCTGATGTGAATAACTTGTCACAGGAGGAGCCAGGCTGGACAGAGGGGATGGAGTGGGTGAATCTGCCTTCTCTGTGCTGTGTGTGGGACATAAGCACTGTCCAGGCCTGGCCTCTCTTACCCACACGGTTGCAAGTTTTCTGAGACACCCCTTCTCCAGGTACCTACGAGGCCCTCACCCTCACTTTGTCCACATCCCTGCACAATGTCATCTGCTCTAAAAGAACTACCCAATCCCCCACCCCATCACTCTTTCCTCTCACCCAGCTTTATTTTCCTTTAGCAGTTACCACTTCCTCACATTATGAATTTAGTTGCCTTAGTTCACTGTCTGCCTTCCTCATTAGAATGTAAACTCCATGCCACCAAGGATTTCTTCTGGTTCACCAATACACATCCAGGGTCTAGCTCGACGTCTGAAACATAGGTGCTCAATAAATATATTTTTAAATTAAAGTTTGTTTTTTTTATTAATCCTCACCTGAGGATATTTTTACATTGATTTTTTTTTTTTTTTTTTGAGAGAGAGAGAGAGTAGAAAGGAGGGAGAGAGGCACAGAGAAAAAAAGATTGCTGTGAGAGAGACACATCAATTGGTTGCCTACCACTCAGCCAGCGGGGGGGGGGGGGGGGGTCAAGCTTGCAGTGGAGATATATGTCCTTGATTAGATTCAAACCTGACACCCTTCAGTCTATGGGCCAATAATTATTTTTTTTACTGAATTCATTCTGAACGGAAAACTTGTAATTCAGAGGAGAACCAATGTACTGAGGAAGCCATATAGCACACTTCCATTTTTTTCTCATAAAATTTCTGAATTTGTATCCATTCACTTGTATGTGAACCACAAGATGAAATACATGAGATAAATTATAGCTATTTCCCAAGCATCTTGGAAAGGAAAACCTGTTTCTTCTATTCCTCACAATCTTCCTTCATAGTGTTCCTGGAAGTTTGCTCCCTTTCTGTCTCATCATTAGAATTCAATGGTTAAAAAATAGCCCTAACCAGTTTGGCTCAGTTGATAGAGCATCTCGGGTTTGATTCCGGTCAAGGACACATGCCTGGGTTGTGGGCTCAATGCTCAGTATGGGGCATGTAGGAGGCAGATGATCAATGATTCTCTCTCATCGTTGATGTTTCTATCTCTCCATCCCTCTCCCTTCCTCTCTGAAATCAATAAAAATATATTTTAAAAAATAATGACATCGAGCAGACCCTTAAGCCACCGAGGGAACGGAGGTGAATTACTGTGTAAAGATACAAATAACCCAACTGAGGTTACAACTGGCCACAGAACATACTCTGATGCTCTCCATCATCCTAACAAAGGGATTTCTTTCGCCCCTGACAAGGAAGAGCTCAGAGTTTTGTATTGCAAGAACATTTCTGTTCACTCTGAAACTTTGGGTGAAATACAAATTTACAAAGGAATAAACCAAGGAACATAAAAAGGCAAAAGAGAGTCTCCTTACTCCTGAGTCCTATCCCAGATGGTGAGATAGTGAGTGTGGTAATATTAGTTTGGACCAAAAACCACAGGGTGACTCAGCTACATTCCAGAGAATGGCATTTCCTGAGTACAAGTGCTTCCTAGGATCAGGCAACAAAGGCCCTTATCAGACCGACTAGAGAAGAGGAACTCATGTCCCCAACCTCATCATAAATTCCAAAGTCTTCATTCTACACTGCAGGTACATTCAGTCTTCCCTGGAATGCAGTCTACAGACCTAAGTGCACTTGAGTCCTGAGGCATCTTGACCCTGTTATTAGGCTGCCCAAGACAACCCTGCTAAGTGCCTAGAGTCATCTCACTCTTGTTCATTGATAGCATTACTCTTCTGAAAATCCTATATAATTAAACCCTACAATGCAAATCGACCAAACAGTGGAATGACCGGCAGAATGACCGGTCGTCATGACACGCTGACACGCACTGACCACCAGAGGGCAGACGCTCAATGCAGAAGCTGCCCCCCAGGTGGTCAGTGCGCTCCCATAGAGGGAGCACCACTCAGCCGGAAGCCGAGCTCAAGGCTGGCAAATGCAGAGGCGGTGCAGCAACAGCAGTGCTAAGGAGCAGCGAGCTGAGTGGTAAGGGGCAGCGAGCAGCGAGGATAATGTTCGAGGAGTCGCAGACTGTGTGGGGGCACAGGCCAGGGTAAGGACCAGGCCTCTGGTTGAGTTAATAAAGGACTCTTGAAGATGTTGAAGAATTTTCAAACCTAAGGAGTGAATTGCTGAGAATAAAGTTGGAGGAGACACCGTTCAGTGTTGGGGCCAGCCCAGCATCCCAGTATGCAGGTCACTCACTGATTTGTTAGTGCATACAATTAATCCCATGGAATCAACCACCAGAAACCAGCACAATGTGTCAGTGGATCCTTTTCGACCTTTAACCCAGGCAAATGTGTGATGGTAGTAGATGTCAAGGCATGGGAAGGATCTGAAATATTTCACTAAAATAGAGTCTAATTGAAGCCAGGATCTGGTGGTCTAGAACTTGATAAATGGAATCATACTATAGTTTGGTTTTCATTCCATGTTTATCATTTTTATCAAATTATTATATATATTTTAAAATTATTTTTACTGATTTTTAGAGAGGGAGGGGGAGGAATAGAGAGGGATAGAAACATCAATGATGAGAGAGAACCATTGATCAGCTTGCCTGCTGCACACCCCTTTCTGGGGATCAAGCCCGAAACCCAGGCATGTGCCCTTGACCAGAATCAAACCTGGGACCCTTCAGTCCACAGGTCAACGCTCTATCCACTGAGCCAAACTGGCTAGAGCAATATATATATATATATAATTGATTTCAGAGAGGAAGGAGATGGAGAGAGAGAGAAACATCAATGATGAGAGAGAATCATTGATTGACTGCTTCCTGCACGTCCTCTACTGGGGATTAAGCCTGCGACCCAGGCATGTGCCTTGACTGGGAACAGAACCGTGACCTCCTGGTTCATAGGTCCTTTTGGCATAATGGAAACTGAGCGAGACTTGGGAGAAGGAACACAAGGGTTTGATTCCTATGATTCTGCTGTATAATAAGTGAGTCTTAGGCAAGTTTTTAAAGTCTAAGTGTATTCCTTTCCTGGAGCTGTCATAACAAAATACCACAAACTGGGTGTCTCACAAAGAGAAATGTATTGTCTCACAGATGTAGAGGCTACAAGTCCATTATCAAGGTGTTGGCAGGGTTGGTTCCTTCTGCGGGCTGTGAGGAAGGATCTGTTTGAGGCCTCTCTCCTAGCTTCTAAGGTTCTGCAGGCAATTATTGCCATTCCTTAGCTTGTAGATGCATTACTCCATTCTCATCCCCCATGCTCATATGGTTTTCTACCTGTACATCTCTCTCTATGTCAAATTTCCCCCTTTTAATAAGGATATATACTCATATCGGATTAAGGTCCACCTTACTGATCTCATTTTAACCTGATTAGCTCTATAAAAGCTCTATCTCCAAACAAGATCATCTTCCGGGGTACTGGAGGTTAGGACTTTAACAAATGAATTGGGTGGATCACAACCCACTGCACATAGCTAGTTTCCTCAGCTGTAAATGGGGTTCATGATAAAATATATTTTAAAAGGCAAGTTGCAGAAGAATATATGCAATGCATCAGGCAAAACTAAAAGCTGTATTGCTCAGGATACATACACAGTTATATGTATAAAAGCATAAAGACAAGTGTGGGAACAACAAACACCAAATTCAGGAGGGATGTCATACAGAGAGAAGGAAAAGTACAAGCTGAGTTTCAGCTGTTTCTTGTTTGTTTGTTTGTTTGTTTGTTTTTTACTCCCCCCCCCCAATTGATTATTTACAGAGAAGAAGGGAGAGGGATAGTTAGAAACATGGATGAGAGAGAAACACCGATCAGTTGCCTCCTGCACACGCCCTACTGGGGATGTACCCTCAACCAAGGTACATGCCCTTGACCGGAATCGAACCCAAGACCCTTCAGTCTGCAGGCTGACACTCTATCCACTGAGCCAAACTTTTAGGGCATGTAGTATTTTTTTTTTTTTAATGAGGTCTACAAGGAAGGTGTATCACTTCTTTATAACTTCCTGTTTGTTTGAATTAGGACATTTTTTTTTCTTTTAAGCCAGGGCTGGGGAAGCCTTACATAAAACAGAGGGAGAAGCTGGGCTGACTTGTGAGAAGATTCAGAATTGCTCTTGTCAGCCCTGGAGCCCAGACCCCACAGTAATGGGAACTAATGGGCCACACCGAAAGGCTGAGCCCAGAAAGGTCTCCTGTTGAGGGGAGGAAACGAAGGGAGGACATTTTGATGCTGCCCCATCTGGTTCTGAACCTAGTTATTGGCCTGCACCTGAACCCCTGGGCTGCAAGACCCCCAGGTGGAGGGAATGGAGGTAGAGGGGTGTGGAGGGCTGCAGAGCCATCTAGCACCCAGGCCCATGGATGCACATGCTTGCATGTCTCACTCACACCAAGCACACCCATGCAGGCTGCCACCCCCACTGACACACACTGCCTTTCAAACAACCTGGCTTGGGCACTCTGACAGTCCACAGCGCCTTTACAGTCCTTCAAGCAGGCACACACACACCCCACCGCCCACCCCCCCGCCCACCCTGGCCAGAACCCCAGAGCTGGAGCTGCTGCAGAGCCCGGCGGCAGGCCCCCAACGCCCGCTCCAGCGCTGCGTTTTTCCAGCAGATCTCACTCCCTCTACTGTATTCTCTGGGAATTGGTGTCTGACGCGGCTGCTCCGGCACATTATTTATTTATTTCCTCTTCCTCCCGCCCAGACCCTCCTGTCAGGAGAGCTGCAGCCCAGACGGAGACTGCAGGAAGCTACAGGACACAGGAGGCAGAGGGCGGCAGGAGGACCCCTCAGAAGCCCCTGCCCGGCACACCAAGCTCCTCGAGTCTCCCCGTGGCCATGAGCACCCGGCAGGAGACCAGAAGAGAGGGGGGGGACTCCAGCAGGAGGGGGCAAGGGGCAGAGCTCCGGGACCGAGCCCACCTGAGCCAGCAGCGCCGGCTCAAACAGGCCACCCAGTTCCTGCACAAGGACTCCGCCGACCTGCTGCCCCTGGACAGCCTCAAGAGGCTGGGCACCTCCAAGGACTTGGTGAGGAAGCCCTCTCCCCTTCCCCAGACCCTCCCCCCCCCCCCGAAGACCTCTGCCACCCCCCTCCATCTCTCCACCCCCTACCCTGAGGGAGGGAAGTGATGACATTTAACCTAAACCTTCATATTCCCTCCCTCACTGAGAGTAGGAACAGGCAGACCTGCCGACTTGAGGGGCTCCCTCTGATCATTCTCAGCTCCTCATCGGGAATATTGTCATGACTTGTGGCTCCGAGGTACCCGATTCTCATTGCTCAGCTTCCCCCTCCCCAAACTCAATGCTTATCTTGGAGTGAGCTCTGCTGTTTGAGAGCAGAGGTTTTTAAGGGGCAGGGAGCCTCTGGAGCGGTTGATTTAGCTGGAGGGCCTGGAGGATTGGCCAGTTTAGGGTTATGATTTCCTTCCTCTCCCTGAACCAGAGCCTCTCATACCAGCTCTGGCCACTCATGTGCTTTCCCCCCTCAGAATGAAGCATTAAGGCCTCCATCCCTGCCAAAGAACAGAGTTTCTAAGGCGTTGGCCAGGCCACCTGCCTCCTGAGGGCCCCCTTTCTCCTCTCAGCCTCCCTCCAGGCTCCTTTCCTCCCATCTTCCCGCAGCAGCTCCGGCCTCCAGAGGGAATGGGGTGAGGTGGGGGGAAGGGGGTGCCCGTGGGAGGTGAGTGGTCAGGGGACCTGCGTATGTGCATCCCCTCAGAGAGAGGGGTGAGGGGCATGGGCTTTGGAGACACGCTGCTTAGATTCAGATTCTGCTCTGCTACTTGGGCAGGTTACTTTATGTCTCTGCCTCAGTTTCTTCACCTATTAAATGAGAATAAAAGTAATAGTATTTACCTCAAAGGGTTGTTGCAAGAGTTAACATGAGCTAAAACCCATAAAAGACTTAGAACAGTACCCGAGTGAGAGAAAGCCATGTGTAAATGCTAATTATTAGGATTCCTTCAGCTACTGTGCACTAAGTCTGGGAGAAAGGAAGCTCTGTAGGATGCAGAGAACCTGGCATTGTATCTGGCCTCTTGGTCGTCACAGAGAGGAAGGCTTTTGTACAAAGGTTTGGGGGCACTCTGTTCACCTAGGAGGGTGGGCACTCCTGCAACCTGAGGCACAAAGGCATTTCTGGGGGCCTCAGGCCACTCCGGCAGCTCCTGCTACCTGAGAACCTCACAACCCCTCACTGCCCTTCTGGCCCTCATCCTACTTTCCATATTCCTCCCAGCCAACTGTTCCCCCTCCAGAGCCCTGACCAGAGGCCGGGCAACCCGCTAGTCCCGCCCAGCAGCCCCCCAAAAGGACTAAGATTTCAATTGAGAGAACCTCCTCTTCGCAGCCGAGAAACCACGGACAGTGAAGCAGGTTTTTTGCTCCTAGTGGCTAGGACCTTTCAGCCTCTACCCTTAGGGGACCATCGATTTGGTCCTGGAGAGGGGCCTCCCCGTGGGAAAGGTGGGAGGAGACCTGGGAACTGCGAGCTGCTCTTTCTGGCCATTCCCAGAGCTCGCTGCCCTTTTCCCAGAGTTGGGTCTCCTGCTGGCAGCCTTGCTGGCGGGAGCAGCCTCAAGGGCCTCATTAGGCCACGGGTGGAAAAACAATCCCAGGCTCCCACGGAGAGAGGGCAGGTGGGGAAGCATGTGTGGAGCCTGGAAAGATACAGTATTCCTCAGCAAGTATATGCTGGGCTCAGCCCAGCAAAACAGCAAAACGAATGAGATGCAGACCTGGTCTCAAGTACTCTCCCAGCTAATGGGGGAGTGAAATCCACAAAGAACATCTTTGAGGAGCATGACTAAGGGGACTACCCCAGCCTTGTGTGCGGAGTGAAGAGCACAGAGGTCAGGGAGCGCTCCCTGGAGAAGGTAAACCTGCACTAATTACCAGATGCATGTGGAACCCCAGACGTTTCTCCTGATAGTTTAGTTCTTGAACAAAGTGTGTTGAGCTAGTCATCCAGTCGCCGGAATAGGCGAGAGCAGAAGCAAAGGCACGGAGGTGGAAAAACAGCCTGTGCAAGCAGTATGAGCAGGTGGCCGGGGCAGGGAGTAGGGTGGGGTGAGGTGGGAAGGGTGAGCTGTGACCAGGTCATCTGGGCTGAGGATCTCCTTAAAAAGTTTGACTCTACCATGTAAGCAATGGGGAGGGGAGTGCTTTGATGGATTTAAAAAAGAGGAGTAACATGTTTAGTTTTGTTTTATTTGAGCACTTCTCAAACTTTAATGAGCACACCAACGATCGGGGCATCTTGTTGGAATTGAAGCTTCTGATTCAGTAGCTTTTCTGCATTTCTTCCAGGTTATGTTAAAGCTGCTGATATGAGGACCACACTTTGAATAGCAAGAGTTTTAGATAATCATTGGCTTTGAGCAGGTGTAGTTGAGAGGCAACAGTACTGGAGGCAGGTTCTTATGAAGGCAAAGGGCATCCCAGTGAAGCAGGAGAGCTGGGGTGAGTCTGGAATAAAGGCAGCAACAGCAAGTAGGATGGACTATAAGCACAGGAGGCAAAACTGGTAGAATTTAGAAAAAAATTGGTCTGTGTTGGAGGGAGGGGATTGCAGGTGAAGGACAGTCCAAGGATGACTCCCAGCACCCTAATTTTGAAGGTTTTAACTTTCTCCTTTTTTTTTTTTTTTTAACTTTGATTTCTATTAATCACATCAACAATCCTGAAACCTGCAACCCATTCAAGGATAAGGTCAACAAAGCGGGGAAAATGTCCAAACAAACAAACAAAAATCTGTTGTAAACTTGAGACAGAATTTCCCCTAAGCATAATACTAGTTCCTGAAATGTATCATCAGCCAATATTAATCAGTCAAACCCAGATGGGCTACTCCCTTCCCATTTCTTCATCGCTGAGCAATTCTTGGGGTCCCAGGAAATGACATGATTTGATACTGGGTTCACTCTGCTATAATGATCTAACTGCTGGGAGGCTTGGGTAAGCTCCTGCCCCTTTCCTACTCCTGTGAGACTCAGGACTGGGTGGGATTAGAGACAATGTCCTGGGACATCTGAGGTGGGGAACCGAGCAGCCTGGATACTTGGCTTCAGACCTATCTTCCTTCATTGTTCTGTGATGGAGCTAGCAGCCGCATAGTGTGATCCAAAGACGCCTGTTGGAAGGAAACCAGAGTCGGAGTCAGGGGGAGTCTCCCCTGGTGCAGGCCCTGATGCATGGCCAGGAGAACAGGAGGAAGACAAACACGCCAGAGATTCCAGCTCTTCTGGTCAACTGCAAGGTGAGAGGCCTCCCAGGGCATGGCTTTCTTTCACAATCCTGCCTGTGACTGGCTCACTTCACCCACTCTCCTTTCTGCCCTGGGTAGCGAGGGAAGGGAGGAGGGAGAAAAGGAACCTCTCTCCTAAGCCTAAACCAAAAAGTGGGATCTTCTATCTCCTTGACTGCCTCAAACCATGTTCCCTCTGTGCACTTCCACCATGACTCCCTTTCCTTTATCAAAGCATAATCTTTAAATGTGAATATGTAAATGATCTTCAGGGTGCTCTACATAATAGTGTGTGCATGGATGGGTAATGCAACCCTCCTGGAAAAGCTCATGTGATGTCCTGGTCATCTCTGAAGCCATTTAACCACCCACCAATACTGAACCTTCCTAAGAAATGCCCACTGCTCTCAGGCCACCGTCCTCGCTCAGCATTTCCTCTGCCTGCTTTGCAATCATTTTATGTCCACATTCCACAATCTTGTAAGCCTCAAATGTTACCTCTGCCTTGAAACCTTTCGAGTTTCCTAGTAGGAAACAGCCTTTCCTCATAGGTCACTTTACTGACAATCCTTTCATAGGTCTTAAGACTCTACCAGACCCATGCAGGAAAGGGTCATGGGTTCAATTCTCAGTCAAGGCATATACACAGGTTTTCAGTTGAATTCCAGTTGTGGCCATGCAGGAGAAAGCCAATCAATGTTTCTCTCTCACATCAATTTTTCACTTTCTCTCTCTCTCCCAGTCTCTCTCTCTTTAAAATAAATTTAAAAAATATTTCTTCACTTGAGGACTTAACAAGAAAAAGATTAATTTTGCATTACAAACGTAAAACAATGATAAGTAGGCCACTAGGAGACTTTAAGAGGAAGTGATACACATAATTCAATTCAGAACAGGGAAATTAATTTCACAAGAGAGCACTTTACCTTCAAGGCCCCATAGTCTGATGTTGGGTATGAATCAATAATGCGAGGTTTGTAGTAAGATATACAACACAAATAAGTGAGTCCATTTCTTTAAAAAAAAAAAAAATCAACAAAACAATTTAAGTGTAAGATCAGCTATCTACATATCAAATAAATATTCTTGATATATAAAAAAAAAAAGACTCTACCATACAGCAGTTACATTTCACTTCCCTTAGGCTCTGAAAAAATAGTATTCATTTCTGTGCTTTCCAGCAATATCAATACATAGTAGATGCTCAGTAAATGTTTGGAATGAGACCTGGCTAGTGTGGCCCACTAATTAGAGCATCAGCTTGTCCCCAGACTGAAGAGTCATGGGTTCGATTCCTGATCAAGAGCATGTACCTTGATTGCAGGCTCACCCCAGTTGAGGTGTGTGTAGGAGGCAACCAATCGATGTGTCTCTCACATTCTCTCTAAAAAAAAAAAAAAAAATCAATGGAAAAATTATCCTCGGATGAGGATTTAAGAAAAAAAAAAAGTTTGGAATAAGAAAACCATGTCGCTGAGACCGGTTTGGCTCAATGGATAGAGCGTCGGCTTGGGGACTGAAGGGTCCCAGGTTCGATTCTGGTCAAGGGCATGTACCTTGGTTGTGGGCACATCCCCAGTAGGGGGTGTGCAAGAGGCAGCTGATCGATGACTCTCTCTCATCGATGTTTCTAACTCTCTATCTCTCCTCCTTCCTCTCTGTACAAAGTCAATAAAAAATATTAAAAAAAAAAAAAGAAAACCATGTGTTTGTGATATGCAGGTGTAACCCAGAATGTCTGTATATGTCCTAAAGAAAATGAACATGTCTTCCTTTGCTTCCCGTGGTGAATGTCTCTCTTGCTCACATTTGAATTTCCCAGCAAGGTATCCCAGTCTCCTCATCCCTCCCCCACTCCAACTAGATTTCTCTAACCCGGTGGCCCTCAGCCTTCCAAGAACTCCTCTAGATCAGGAGTGGGGATAGTCTGGCCCGTGGGCTATATAAGGTCCATGAAATCATTTGGTCTGGCCTGCAAAGGCATTAGGAGTTGGTTAAATGTTTGACCAAATTGAGTAGGCTAATTTTTAAGTTGATAATTTTGTATGGCTCAAGAATGATGTTATAAACATCCAAATAGCCCTTGGCAGAAAAAAGGTTCCCCAACCCTGCTCTAGACAAACAGGTATCCATTTCTGGTCAGATTGTTCCCAAACAGATAGACTCAGCATCCCATGCAGCTCACTTCCTTTTTTTTTTTTTTATCGGAGCCAGTTTTTTCTCAGTTGTACAAGTGCCATGAAAACCACTTTTAAAGACACAGTTCATTCCTTTCTTTCACTTCTGAAAGGCTGGGAAGGTGGAGGTCCCCAGGCCATTCTCCTGGGACTCACTGAATCTCCCACCACCCTCTTTCTCAGTGTCAGGACCAGGTCCTTAGGGTGGCCGTGGACACAGGCACCCACTACAACCAGATCTCCGCTGGATGCCTCACCCGCCTGGGGTAAGAGTATGGCCCCAAATAGTGGATGGGGGATGGGGCTTCCTTTGGAGTGCGTGATGATATTGTGAAATTAGATAGTAGTGACTATATCTGTGAATACAAAAACCCACTTAATTGTACACTTTAAAAGGTGATGACTCCCATGGTATATGAACTATATCTAGTTGATCGGGCTCTGACAGAGAAGACAAGGCTTTAGACCCTATTTGGGGCCAGGGATTGGATGAGAACCCAGTGTGGTGGGGGGGATGTTAGCTGACTAAGGGAATAGGAGTTGGGGCTGTGGTGGCAATAACCCTCCTTTCCAACCACAGGTTAGGGAACAGGGACCCAGCACCTGGACTCCCACCCCAGGTGGAACAGCTGGAGCTACAGCTAGGCCAGGAGACTGTGGCATGCTCAGCTCAGGTGGTGGGTAAGTCCTCTCTTCTACCTTCTCTCCTGTGGGAAGAGGGTGAAGGGGGGGAGCAAAGGTGGAATTTTAGCCCTGTCAACACCAGACAAGGCGTCCCCAAAGGTGCTCTGACTATCCCCAATATCTGTGCCAAGATTCTCAGACCTGGGGGGTGGAGTGGGCGAGAAGGGGCATGCACTGATGGGAGGGCAGCAGTGACCACAGAGTACCCTCCAAAGTCTCGTTTTCATGTGGCTCCTGCAGATGTGGAGAGTCCTGAATTCTGTCTCGGACTGCAGACTCTGCTTTCTCTCAAGGTAAGGAGGACACTAGCACTTTGGGGCCTGACCAAGGGCTGGGAAAGAGGCAGGAAGCACAGGTGTGGAAGCCTAGGTCAGGTCTCAGTGAAAGACATGATGTGGGACTGCAGCTTTGCTTCCTAAAGAGATTCCTGATCTGCCCACAAGTGAAAAATGTGGAGCACCGGGTCTCTCCCTGACACAGGGGTCTGGGTGAATGGAAATGGGGAAGCGGGAGGGGAAACAATTAAGAGGTGGCTGGGAGACAGGTTACTTGAGGAGGCAACCTCACATTTCCCCTCCACACCCCACAGTGCTGTATCGACCTGGAACACCGAGTGCTGCGGCTGAAAGCCCCCTTCCCAGAGCTGCCCTTCCTGCCTTTGTACCCAGAGCCTGGCCAGTGACTGCTGGCCCCATCAGTCCCCAGGGGGAAGCACTGTGACTTAGGGAAGAGCCATGAGGGGTATGGGGACCTTACTGCAGCCAGGTAGTTGGGGATCGCTTTGTCTGTGCCTTCTGTCACCACCCTGATCCTACTGTTCCATGTCCCTGTCGGCCACATTCTTCTCTGCTTCTTGGCAACTCCCCTATCCCCCAGGAGCTTTCCAGAGGGCCCAGGATCTCAGGGCTCTGGTTTCCCTCTTCTCTCTCATTCTCCTCCAGAGAAGAGCAAAGCCAAATCAGGACTGCAGAAAGTGACTCAAGCGTCCTGGCCAGTGTGGCTCAGTTGGTTGCGTGTCATCCTGTGCACAGAGAGGTTGCCAGTTAGGGCATATGCCCAGGTTGTGGGCTCGGTCCATGGGGAGGGGTATGCAGAAGATGTCTCCCTCACATCGATGTTTCTCTTTCCCTTCCTCTCTCTCTAAAAATCAATTTTAAAATACATTTAAAAAAATTATACAAGGAAAATGGGGTTAGAAACTGGCCTCCACCTGCCCCCTGCCAACCCAAACCTCCTTGACTACCTTCACTCCCACATCTCTCACCTCAGTTTCTGGGCTCATTATCTTTCAGAATTAGATGGCCCATTTCACCAACCAGCTCCCCATCCCGGCTGGTGCCTACTGTTCTAATTCTGCACACGCCAGCTCACAGCTGAGTGGCGGGTGGAGGGACATACTGAACGGAATGATTCAACACACTAGGAAGGTGGCTTGGTAGAGGACTGCCAGTTCACAAGGCTTGCAAACACCTGAAGCCAGTTATTATTTGATTACCCTGCACAAAACCATGGATATACCTCTAGTATTTGCTCCAGATATTTGTCCTCCACTTGCTTTTTCACCCACTGGGTCCCTGAACTTCAGGGTGTGTGGGAAAGAGCCCTGCAGAGAGCTGCCCCCAAAGGTGAACAGGACGGAGGGGTTGTCAGTACTCAGACTTCACCTAACCAGTAGTCCTTATTTCTAGAACTATCCATCTCATTAGACCTTCTTCCTACCCCTCATCTTGGGCTTCCTGAGCTAGACCTTGTCTTGTTTTGAAATCTGTGGCTTTCTGTCCCCTGGCGGGCTCTAAGCCACAGCAAAGGGACAAGGCGGCTCTTCTGACTTCACTGTGGAGAAGAATCCAAACCTTAAGAAACTAGACCCCTGAGTGTCTTTCTGGCTGGTTTGAGCCTCTAAAATCATGGATGTAGAGGAAGAGAGTGGTGTAACGAATCTGACTAGGGAACTAGGACCTTAGGCTGGAAACAAAATCTTGAGCGTGGGGCAGGTTAGCAAGGAACTGCCCTGTGACACCCAGCATTGCCTTTCTCGGCTAAGTCCTCGCCCTTACAGGGCCCTCGCTGTCACGGTGTGATAGGATGCTGGTCCCTCACTGCCTCGCTCCACGGCCTCTGCTTTCCTGGTCTCACCCTGCTCCTTTCGCTTCTGCCTCCTGCCGCTTCCGTAATTGTAGACACAGGCTGCAGACCCAGGCCCTAGGGCTGGCCCTCAGCTCAGCTGCTTCTCTATTTGAATAAACACCTATTTCTCTATGGTGATGTCCTCCTTTGTTCTTCTTCCATGCCCACCAGAGCTGAATGAGAACTCTGCCCTTATTCCCTTACAAAAGGAAATATGAATGTGGACCCTTCCCCAGAAACACCCATCAGGCTGGGGTCAATATAATTGAGAGCAATATCTTTCAAACTCCTTTGAACATAATTTAAAGCAGGAGATACAGTTTATATTACACTCAATATACACATACCATTATAACAAACCAATGTTTTCATATACTGTAGCAATATAGTACTTTATTTTTCATTCTATTGTATTCTATTTCATTTATTAAAAAAAAAATGCTGACCACAACCCACTAAAAGATTGCAGTCTACAATTTGAAAGATACTGATTTAAAGCACACAGAGTTAAGAGCAGAAGGGATAGAAATGGCCCAAGATAGAATTCTGATTATGGTCTGGATCATAAATCTGCATCAGGTTGCAAATGTCTATTGTCTGATAGACGATAAAGTATTTCTGTGGAAATGGGGGGGTGGGAGATGGACCGAGGCCTAGGAAGATGCACAGTACTCGAAGAATATGGCAAAATGAGAAGCTGCTGCCCCAGTGTCTTTGGAAAATAGAGCAAAATCATCTCAGGGTTGCTGGGGACACAAAAACCAGACTGTAAAATGTCCTGAAAGGCCCCTAAAAACAAAGCAGACAGTTCGCCATTCTTGCAATAATCACCACTGACAGAGTTGTGACATGGAAGACGGGGCTTGGGATGGGGCAGAGCCCCTATCTCACAGCTGCACTGGCCCAAAGCCTTGTTTCCTCACAAGTGTCAGGGTCACATAAAAGATTTTGCTTCCTCCTCACAAACAAGTCTGCTTTCCATAGGAGACTGGAGAGCTTTGGGGAGGGGGCAGTCCCAGGTCAGGTGATGCGGAATAAGGTCAGGGTCCTTCACCCTGCTGATGTGATGGGTGAGGTACACAGAAATGGGCAGACAGTCCAGTTGTCTCTTCTCTCACCGGGGAGACCAGGGGATCTATAGTTCACAGTCACCCTCCGGTTGCTGCCATCTGCCCATGCTCCCTCTCCTGCCAATACCGTGATACCTTGGGGGCAGGGAGGTTCAGAGGATCCTTCTTCAGCCAAGAAGGAAAGCCCCGCTAGGTGGGGTCCTGGGGGTTTGCAGGAGCACACTGTGGTGGCTGGTCAGGATGGTAGAGGGTTTGGTGAACCAGGGTGCGAGCTGCTGGGAGGTCATCAGGATCTGAGGGCAAGAAAGGGGCTGGTAAGAGGCTGTGGCTCTCCTGCACCCCCCGATTTACTAGCCCGCAGCTTGCTGGGACTCACCCAGGCCCAGCTCCTGCAGCAGGCTCTGGTACTCGGGCTCGGCCTCCAGCAATTTCAGCAGATTGGTCGACTCCATCCGCTCAAGCTGCACCTCCCAGTACACATAGATCTTCTGGTTGAATGTGACATACACGAGGCAGGGGCTGTTGTGGCCCTCTTTGCAGGCATACAGGCCTGGGGGTGGGTGGTGAGACAAAGGTCCAGAAGTTTCAGTCCAGTGGTGGGAAAGCAAGAACAAAATATGAGTCAGCAGTTTTGACCCTCCCAGATGCCAAACAGAAAACCAAAGGCTCTCTTTCTAAGTCTTCTCTGATAGGAACTCAGTAAAACAGAAAATATCTTGCCCTATGCCACAGAAAAACTATTATAACAAAACCCAGGCAGAAAAGCATCCAGATATGTGATACTTCATTTGTCATCTTAGTGACAGCCTTGGAGTAATGACTAGTTTTGCTAGTCTAAGGGGTAAATCAGCAAAATGTAATCAGAAATTAAGGTTTCTCTGAGGTGGCAACCCCTGTGCAAAGGCCCTGGAGTAAGTATGCCAGCACACTGCCCAATTCTTCTCACTTCAGTAACCACGCTTATCTCCATGTCATCCCGAGTGAGTGCTGGCTTCCAAGGTCCTAACTGGGAACTAATGGGAATGTCCTAGGTCAGCGATTTTCTACCAGTGTGCCACAAGAATTATTAAAACATGCAATACCTGACTATTTAGTCAGGGGCACTGTTCTCTTTTCCCTTAGACTGTGAATAAAAAATGACAACAGCCAGCACAACAGCTGTCCAAAAATGTGCAAGAATCAAAATTATACTTTTTTTTTTTTTTGTCAGATTGGGAAAAAAAAACAACTTTTTTTGTGTGCCGCAGGAGATTAGTGATTAGCTTACAAGTGCCATGAGAAGAAAAAGGTTGAACATTGTTGGGCTAAGACCATGTTCTTCACAGAGTTTTGATATACTCAGATGGGAAAGAGCTTTCTGACGTCCTCACATAGATAGATAAGAAATCATACATTCTGCTCTAGCCAGTTTGGCTCAGTGGATAGAGCTTCAGCCTGTGTACCAGAGGGTCCCAGGTTTGATTCTGGTCAAGGGCACATGCCTGGATTTTGGGCTCAATCCAATGTGCAGGAGGTAGCCAATCAATAATGCCCATCATTGATGTTTCTATCTCTCTTCCTCTCCCTTCCTTTCTGAAATCAATTTAAAAAAAAGAAATCATACATTTTCTAAAATATTCAGAAATAGAGATCTCACTATGTTTTTTCTTCTTTTTTTTTTAAAAAAATATATTTTATTGATTTTGTACAGAGAGAAAGGGAGACAGAGAGTTAGAAACATCAATGAGAGAGAGTCATCAATCAGTTGCCTCTTGCACACCCCCCACTGGGGGTATGCCCGCAACCAAGGTACATGCCCTTGACCGGAATCGAACCCAGGTCCCTTCAGTCCCCAAGCCGACGCTCTATCCATTGAGCCAAACCGGTTTCGGCTGTTTTTTCTTCTTATTTAAAACTGTAAAGATGGCAATTGAGCCTGGCTGGCATGGCTCAGTGGTTGAGTGTCAACCTATGAAACCAGGAGGTCAAGGTTCGATTCCTAGTGGGGCACATGCCCAGGTTGTGGGCTCAATCTCCAGTAGGGGGTGTGCAGGAGGAAGCTGATCAATGATTCTCTCTCATCATTGATGTTTCTATCTCTTTCCCTCTCCCTTCCACTCTGAAATCAATAAAAATATATATTTTTTAAAAAGATGGCAATTGAGCACTCACCCATCACCCTCCAATGAAAGAGATAAGGAACTCATATGTTTATGAAGACTCACATAGGGGACACACTAAGAATGGGGCAGGGGCCCACCTGCACAGAAGGCTCTGACATTCTCATCCACTTGGAAGCGGACGACTGTGCGGTTGTGATCAATGATATACGTCTGCCCGTCCCAGGCACAGGCAACCACCTCCTCGTGCCCGTTGCCCTGAAATAGGTCAGACACAAGATTGCAAGGGGTGGCCAGGAGCCATGTTAGAAAGAGATCTAATGACAGGGATGAATAAAATACTGTACAAGGAGCTGTGGACTTGGCTCTGGATGACAAACAACCAGCTGGGAAAGAAGACAACCATATGTTTCTTACTGAATTTCTCCCATGTGCCAGGAACCAAAGGGGCTGTCAAATGAGCCACCTTACATAATGCTCACAACAATCCTGTGAGCATTACTCCCAATTTGATACTGAAGGAACTTCAGCTTATAGAATAAAGTCATGTTCTCAAGGTCACTCAGTTGGAAGGTGGTGGAATCAGGCCTCCAACCCAGGCCTGTTCTACCTGACTTCCAAGCCTCAGGCCTTTTCTCTGACACCACTGAGCATGCATGACGGCAGCACAAAGGACAGCCCCCATTGCGGATTCAGGAGCCACAGCCTTAGTAAAGACAGACTCACACAGGACAAGAAAATAACATACATTTGCAGTTGGGACTGATGACTAACTTCTGGATCCAAGTAGTAGTAATTATATATTTCTCTTTGGAGTGATTACTGCTGCTGAAAGGAACTGGAAAGAGAGATTGCCCAGAGCACAGAGTGCTATGCACTGTGGAATAGGGGAATGACTCACTTCAAAGAAAGTAAGAGCTGTCTAAAGAGGGCACTAAGATAAAGTTGAGCTTAGCTGGTGTTGCTCAGTGGCTGAGCATCGACTCATGAATCAGAGGGTCATGGTTTGATTCCCAGGCAAGGCACAAGCCTGGGTTGTGGGCTTGATCCCAGTAGAGGGCAGGAGTTAGCCAATCAATGATTCTCTCTTATCATTGACTAGAGGCTTGGTGCATACAGGGGTAAAAAGCCTGGGAGCCTAAGGGGTGGGAGGCAACCTGGAGATCAGGGAAGGTGACACCTCATCACACCTCTGCTGCTGCCACTGCTGTCAGCGCAAACCTTGGCCCTTGGCTGGCCCTGTTTACCTGAGCCTCAGGTGGCCCTGGGCAGCTGTGGAGCTGAGGGGACTGGGTGCTGCCATCTTATTATTATTAGGATGTTTCTATCCCTCTCTCCCTCCCTTTTTCTCTCTGAAATAAAAAATAATGTATATATATTTTTAAAAGATAAAGGTTGAGAGTTAACCGTGAAGTGAGAATGGCCTCACTAAAATCTTCTCTCTCCATGTGAAGGTAAGAATGTTCCTCTCCACCAGGTGTTCTACCCACCGTGACATCCAATTTCTCTAGGGCGAAAAGCTGGTGGTCCACCTGCACGGACCACAACAGCTTGTCTGCTTCCTCCATAAGCTTCAGTGTCCCTGCAGGATGAGAGGCAGGTGGATGGGTCAGGCAGGATCCCTGAGCAGATCCCCAGGCACACAACTGGCCCACAGCTGATCTGAGGAACTCACCATCCATGGTGCAGAGGGCAAAGAGGCCAGAGCCACCACTCTCAGCAGTGTGGCCTGTGGGTAGAAGGACCAGAAGAAGAAAATGTGAGAAAGGAAAGATCAGAGCATACAGGGGGAGGAATGCCCAAAAGGAGGGAGGAAGAGAGGAAGGGAGAGAGGGAGGGAGAGAGGGAGGGAGGGATAGGACTAGAAATGAGAGAAAACACAGCATCTCCTCTCCCAAAAGCAGTGTTTGCCCTCAGCAACCTGCCTCGTTTGATGTTGCCAATGAGGTGAGTAGAGACATTCTTGTTGTGGATGCGGCCAGATGTCTGGTGCAGCACAACATCTCGGGCAGACGGGGTCTCCCTGCGGGCAGAAGACTAGGAGACTAAGTGGAAGACCAAGTGAGCTTAGTGCTCTGGCACCTTTGTGGCCCCGTCTCTGTAAGAGCTACCAAGCTGTGAATCAGCTAGGAATCCTATTGCTGACCCTGTCTGGCCCGTGTGGCAAGTAGGAAACAGGGATGGAGCTATCAGGCTACAATCTTGGAACCTTTTCCAGTTGCTACAGAGTTAGAGCCAGGATACGCTGGGTCCCGAAATATAGGTCTTCTCTCACTAGGACAGAGGTACTTGTGCCGTTCCTCGCTCAAGAAGTTCTGCCAACCGCAGACCTATCATCCTCTGCCGGGGACCCAATCTTGCTCTCATGCACCCACACCATCCACAGGCCTGCACCCCTTACCTAATGCCTTCCGGGGTCCCCTCAGAGGTAGTTGAGTGCCTAGCGTCCTTGTTCCAGGTGCACAGTAAAACTGCATAAGCACAGCCTGGCTGTGATACCATCAGTTCAGGAACACCCAGGGGACCCAGAGTCACCGAGAGACTGTCCACCTGCACCAGGGAACAGAGGCTTAAAGGGGGCTGGGGAGACAGTAAGTAGAACCCTGCAAAGAACAGGGAAGAGAAGAGGGGCAGCCCCTGCTAGCAGTTCCCCAGGCTCCAAGGTAGCAGCAGGAGGAATTCTAGTGTTCACAGGGCTCCTGCGGGAACACCCTCTGCACATACACCACCTGCTTTCCTCTGTGCAGCCTCAAGTGGGGCCCAGTCCTGACACAGGCCCCACCACATTCCCCATTCTTAGCACTGGGCTCCTTCCTATTAGTTATTACTAGCAATTTCCCCTAAGACTCTGATTTGAAATGATCTTTAGATCTCTCCCAGCAAGGTGATTTTCCCTTCTTTCCACCCTGCATGATGGCCCACGACTGTTCTCCCACAACCCCCTTCAGAAGACCTTCTCTGGGCTCTGTGGTTCCCATACTCAGCCTCTCACCTGACCTTCCAGTGTCCATTTCTTAAGTGACACCAGCTGCCCTGTCAGATGTTCAGAGCCCTCGCCCAGATCTTCCCAGCGGAAAGCACGTACCACACGGTCTGTATAACCTACCACCAGCTCGCAACACCCGTCTCCATCTGTGTCCATCCAGAAAATAAGACAAGTTTGGAGCCAAAGTTGCATTCGTCAGCTTAAATCCTACAAGCATCTCATCCCCACTCCTCTGCTAACATCACTGCTGGCATTTTATCTGGTACGATTTCAAGCCCAATCTGTTGTGGAGCCGTCTCACACGCTCCGAGTCTGGTGCAGGCTCCTCTGCCCTTCCTGCCCTGACAACACCTACCTGTTCCTGGGCCCTACCCACCCACTGCTCCACAGGTCCTGTCACTGCTTCCCTCGGACACACAACTCGAGGTGTCCTGATTCATCCCATATACCTACCACCACCTTCAAGACAGTTTCTGGCCAACATAACAGCCCAGTATCTATTAATATATAACTCACTCCTTTGCCATCTTTAATTTTTTTACCTAATGTCATCTTCTCAGAAAGAACTTCCCTGACAACTCCATTTAGAATCGCTACATCTACCTCAACACTCTCTTGCTCCTTTCCATGGTTTATTCCTCCTCCCCCTGAATCCCTGGAGATCTGCTCTATTACCAACTGACTCCCAGCTGCCTGCAAAGACAGCCATGCCCACCGATGTCGCTGATCAGCATGACCTTGGTGTTGGCAGGGATGTGCTGCTTAAATACCAGGCGCTGCTCCTCTCCCATTAGGGTCTCATGGTGCCCAGAAGCATCCAGGGTCCTGGCAGGTGTCAGGTCACACAAGTGAAACCAGCCCTCAGCACTCACCGCCACCACGAGATTCTGGGAGAGACAGAGGTATGAGAGATGGACTGGGAAGGGAGTCTGAGCACAGGCTGGTCATTAGAACACAGAGGTCAGGGCTGAAGCATTACCTTCAGCTGATTTCCACCTTGAGACAGCCATCAATCTAAGTAAGGCCTTGGAGTTACAGTGAAATCCCAAGGGCCCTGAGAGTTCTTACCTTTCCTTTATTGCATACATCTCCAACCCCCACACAAGTCAGCTGCAAAAGAAGAAAGGAAGGCTCAGGGAGACCGAGGAAGACAGGTTCTCCCTAATAGCTATGAGGTTGGAAGGAGCAGGTTTTCTAATTACCACCATTCGCTGAAAACCTGTTGCCAATGACCTACACTGATAGTCTGAGTTAATCAAGTTACTGTGCTACAGGTTTATTTGGTTTACCCAGACGGCAATATAAAGACCTGAAGACAATTTGGGCTCAAAACAAAATTGTTACAAAATAAAAACTCTAATATAGCCAGACGATCACGTTTTTGGACATATTCAAATACTGCCCTCATTTTCTACTATTTAACCTAATAATAGAGTAATATGCAAATTAACCATCACTCACTACACCAGCCAATCAGAGTGAGTATGCAAATTAACCCAACCACCATGGTGGGTTAATTTGCATATGTAGAGGGAGGGAGGAGTGAAGACTGAAGACAGCATAGAAAGAAGAGGGAGGGAAAGTGGAAAGCAAGGCAGCTGCAGCTGCTGGAGCAAAAGCACTAGCAGCGCCTGCAGGACGAGGCAGAGCAAGGTGCACAGTGGTGGAGCACACAGCTGCGGAGGTGGCGGCTGATGGTGGGTCGGGTGGGGCACGCAGCAGCAGCAGCAGCAGCAGCATGCGAGACACCACAGGAGGTGGCAGCAGGTGCGGCTGGGCCGTGGAGGCAGCGCAGCTGCAGGGGCGGGCGCAGCAGGTCGGGCGTGCGGAGCGAGGCGCGCACTAGTGGTGGCAGTGCGCGTGTGTGGCTGCGGGAGCCGGCTGTGGCCACAGGTGCAGTGGAGCAGGCAGGACGGTGGGGTGAGCCCCGCTTGCCCCGCCCACCGCAGCTGGAAAGGTGTGGGCGGGAGGGAAGCTCGCCAGAAGTTTTGCAGGAATATTCCTACTACGTTGCCTAGTAATTTATAAGGTTAGACAACCTAGGCTGAGCAGCTGATGAGTTTAGGACACGCTGATGGGCCCCTGTGTGGGTCTCAGCCTTGACAGCTCCTGGACAGAAGAAATCCCTTCCCTGACCTGTAGACCCGGGTAGTGGAATACTTACCATTCCCTGGCAGGAACAGGTGAGCCATGGCCGGCTGTCATCATTCTTATATACAGACAGCTTCCCACTGGTGTCTCCCACCACCAGTTCATTTAACTTCAAACGGAGAGAGAAGAGAATTAACATGGGATCCTGCTGACCCACGTCCAACTCTACTGGGCCCATCCTGAGGAAATCACTTGAGGACATCAACTTGAATCTTCATTAACTTTACTAAAATCTTTTGAGACCACCACAGCCATAGTTTCCAGTTTCTTTATTTCCGTAGGGGGAAGGGTGGTGTGTGTGTGTGTGTGTGTGTGTGTGTTACAGGTAGGGGAGATTAGAGGAATAGAGCAATACAGAATCCATCTCATAAAAGTTTGACATCTGAACAAATTAATGCCCTACAGACTTGTCCATTACAAATAGGACATACAGAATGGGGCAAAGTAGTTTTACAATGGTCTGTATGGAAAATAACACAATAATTAAACTGCTGCCCTATCTAGTTTTGCTCAGTGGCTAGAGTACTGGCCAACTGAAGGGTCCTGGGTTGGATTCCAGTCAAGGGCATATACCTGGGTTGCATAATTGTTCCCTGGCCCTGTTGGAGGCAACCAATCAATGTGTCTCTCTCAAATCAATGTTTCTCTCTCTGTGTTTCTCCCCTTCCTTTCACTCTCTGAAAATAAATGAAAAAATATCATGTGAGGATTAACAACATATAGATATATGCACACACACACACACACACACACACACACAGTATATACTAAAAGTAGTCTAGGTGGTTGTCATGCTCTGATCCATGACGTTCTCATGCCATCACAAGAGGGTTGCGCACCTCCTGCTGGAGAGTCCCCGCCACCTCCTGTAGTGGAGGCAGGACCTGGTGTCTCTGCCACCTTGCACGGAGGAGGCGGGTCCTGTGGCTTGGTGTGCTGCAGAAGCAGAAACCCCATACTCTGGCCTACCTCTTTGGGGCGATCCATTGTGGGGCTCCCGCACTGTGAGTGGGCACAGGCCAGGCTAGGGGACCCTCCCTGCCCCAAGTGCACAAGTGTATATATATTAGAGGCCTGGTGCACAAATTCGTGCACAGGTGGGAAATGGTTGGCCCACCCTGACCGGGACTGATAGGGCCAGGCCAGCTGGGGGCTAGGGGCTGGGGACAGTTTGCTGGCTGGCCCCACCCCCTGGTCGAACTCCTGGTCAAGGGGACAATTTGCATATTATTATTATATAGGGTAAAAGAAACAGTTTCTCATACTGTAAACTTACTTTTGCCCCACCCTGTATTTTGAAAACAATCCCAAATATTCAACTTTTAGAGAATTTAACTTCAAACCTCATATTCTATTAGAGGCCAGGTAAAAAGAAAATGTAAGCTCTGGGGCCCTTCTCCTTTAGAAAGACCTTTGATCTTGGTGTGTATGAGTTGAATATAGGATGGAGGTTGGGGGTAACATGAAGGGGCTGCTGGGTGTCAGGATCATGGTCTGGGCCTCTGGTGCCCTCAAGTGGTGACTAAGCTCTCAAGTGGGCAGGCTCTATGTGATACCTTACTCAATAAAGAAATTTAAAAAAAAGAGGACAGGCTCCCTGCATGGAGCCTCTTCACTATTTGGTTTTGGGTACTCCACCTCCTAGAAGTCCCCAAAAGCTGTCCATCCTTTCCAGAGACTAACGATAATGAATAATAAGGTAGCTCCAAACCCTATTTCCACTGACAGCTTCATAATTTCCATTGTGGGGACATGCAATATCCCCTTCCTGTCCTCAAAATAGAGTGACTATTAGAAAAAGAGAGATTTAATTATTTTTTTTCTTTTTTGAATTTATAGGTTAACAAATTTATACAGGTTTCAGGCGCACAATTCCACAAGAAGATTTAATTCTAAAGGCAACAAAGATATAACAACAACAAACCAGTAAGGAAAAGTTAGCAATGAATTGGAATTTATCAATATGATTTAGTTGATTTGAACCTTAGATTGTTTTTAATAGTTATAGGAACATTATACTTATAGAAGCATAAAACAAGTTTACTTGCATTAAATCCTCAATTACAGCTGCCCCTGGAGACTTCTGCAGACACATAAGAGAGAAGCATGGCACAGAGGCTCAGACTGCACCTGCCTGCATTTGAATCCAGCTCTCTATGCCCCTATTTTTTTTTTATCTATAAAATGAGGATCATAAAAGTAGCCACCTCATAAGATTGTTCTGAGAACTGAGTTAACAGAAGAAAGCATTTAGAAGTGGTTGGCATATAGTGAGGACTAATACCAAGTGGTTTTCAGCCTCTAGTTAAATATCTCCAAGGCTAGGAATCTTAGCATTTTTCATATAATCCATTCTTTTATTATACCTTCACTCAACAAATGAATCTATAGTAGGTCTTGATAGAATGTTTGCTTAATAAACAAATACCAACAAAGATTTTTTAACTTTTGTTTAACAAACAAAAATGTCTGAGCTTTCTGTTCATGCTGAGGTTGAAGCCTCGTGGTGGCAGTACCATGGATCTGCCTCTCACCCGGTGCGGTGAGCTGGGCCCTCCCTGGAGAAGAAACCTGGCTTCCCCAAGATATGTGATCAGTGCCGGGGCCTCACCAGCAGGCGAGGGGATCCCAAGGCAGGTGCTGAGTGTGGAGGCACCGGGGTATAGGCTACCAAGGAGACAGAACTGAACCTCACATCACCCTCCTTGGCCCTAGAGGATGGCTGATTAGCCAGAGATGGGTAAGATTTCTCAGGGAAGGAACAACCTAAGACAAGCACAGTTGCAGAGGGGCCATCAGGAGAGAACTTGGGAATCAACTGAGGTGAGGCACAGAACCTCCCCCTCCCCCCCAACTTTGCAGGAGCCTGAACCCTCACCCCTGCTGAGGGAGGTCTCCTGCTCCCATACCTGCTTAGTTTCATGCACAGCTCAAATCGGGACCCAGGTAACAGACAGAGACTTGGCCAACAGCAGCTGCCCTCTCACTGCAACAAGACTTGTTTGAGTTGTCTTATACCCATGGTATAGGGAAGTGGATTTTTAAAAAAATATATATTTTATTGATTTTTTACAGAGAGGAAGGGAGAGAGACAGAGAGCTAGAAACATTGATGAGAGAGAAACATCGACCAGCTGCCTCTTGCACACCCCCCACTGGGGATGTGTCCGTAACCAACGCACATGCCCCTGATCGGAATCGAACCCGGGACCCCTCAGCCCACAGACCGATGTTCTACCACTGAGCCAAACCGGTTTCGGTGGGAAGTGGATTTTTTTTAAAAAATATATTTTATTGATTTTTCACAGAGAGGAAGAGAGAGGGATAGAGAGTTAGAAACATCGATGAGAGAGAATCATCGATCAGCTGCCTCTTGCACACCCCCCACTGGGGATGTGCCCGCAACCAAGGTACATGCCCTTGCCCAGAATCGAACCCGGGACCTTTCAGTCCGCAGGCTGACTCTCTATCCACTGAGCCAAACCGGTCCCGGCGGGAAGTGGATTTTTGATATCTAAATCCAGCCTAGCAACAGGAATGCTCAGGGCCTACTCAAGAAGGCAAATAATCCTTTCCACTAATATTTACAGGGTAAAATAAGATTGTTGTTAGAGTATTAAATTTGACAGTAAAATAGTAGTCAAGTTCTAAGATTAATTTAAACTGGCTAATTGAAATAAGTGAATATTCTAGAAAACTTAATGGTACTGGACAAAAAGCTGTTCCTAAAGTGTTAACTAAAAATTTTATTGGTAGTTTATCTCATGATAAAATCTCACAACAGGAAATGAACCTGAAGCAGTCATATTTCAGTGCAAAAAAAAAAAATTTAAAAGCCATCAAGACTACATTATAAAATTTCCAAAAGCCTTCTAATATTTAAATAAAAAGGGGGGGATAGTAGAAGAATATCATGTAAGGAAAAATATCCTGTAAGTAAATTACATCTAGAAAATTTGTACTTTAGAAAATTAATTTTCATTTGTAATGCTAACAGCAAGACATCCATGAAAAATACACATGGTGTCAAAACAAGCCAAAGGAAAATCATTAGGCCAAAAAAATGAAAAAGTCAAATTTATAGAAAATATTCCTTTATTAACTTTTGGTCGAGAATATGTTTGTATATTTTCAGAAAATAACTCCAAGACCATGTGGATTCCTGCAACAGAGAGGAATTGAAAGGAGTACTCCAGCCATGAAGACAGAAGAGAAACAGTCCAGAGATGGAAGACACTGATTATGGCCTTACCATACTATTATAGTCAGCAGCTGTGTATCACTGCAGGTTGCCCAGGACCAAACCAGAGAAGATCAAAGCTGCATTACCATCATTTGTCCACCATCCATAACTGAGATACCATTGCTGACATGTACACATAAGGAATGGTTTGACAATGAAATTGGGACTCAAAAGAAATGTTGGCCCAGAAAGAAACTCACTACAGACTGATTCATTTGCCTCTCAACATAACCATTATTACTTATCTCATTTTCGGTTCTTATAAGTATATTTCTAGTATTACATGATCTCACTCATCTAGTGGAAAAAATGAACAACATAAACTGATGAACAAAAACAGATCCTGAGACAAGGAAGCATCAATCAGACTGTCAAACCTAAGAGGGAATGTAGGAGAGGGTGGGGGTAAGAGGGAGAGATCAACCAAAGGACTTGTATGCATGTATATAAGCCTAACCAGTGGTCATGGACAACAGGGGGATAGGAGCATACGTGGGGAGGGGTGGGAATGAGTGGATGAGGACAAATATGTGATACCTTAATCAATAAAGAATTTTTTTTTTTTAAATAGTCCTGCTGGTGTGGTCAGTGGTTGAGTGTCAACCTATGAACCAGGAGATCTTGGTTCAAATCTGGTCAGGGCATATGCCTGGGTTGTGGTCTTGATCCCCAGTGTGGGGCAGAAGCAGTTGATCAATGATTCTCATCATTGATTTTTCTCTCTCTCTCTCCCTCTCCCTTCCTCTCTGAAGTCAATAAAAATATTTTTTTAAAAAGAGAAAGAAACAAACAAAAAATCAGAATGAAAGAGAATGCCCTTGCATTTTTAGGTAAAGCTGAAGAACCAGTTAGGGGCACGAAGATAAA